TTTTAACAAATTCCTTTAAAAGGGTAATTTTTAATTTAGTAATTGAGGTTAGATAATCTTTTTCTTGAACTTTTCTGTTTTTAGTTAAGTTTTTAGTTAGGTCTCAACATTTTCCGGTAAAAAAATTAAGAACGAAGTTTGCCACGAATCAGAGCAAATTCCCCGTCGTTGGAATAAAATTAGCCGACATGTAACAACTTCCCCTTTCTTTTTTCCTAAAAACATTTTTAGGGTTTTGACCTTATGAGCAATCAACTCGCCTCTACTTGGTTATAGGAATTTTCCCATTTTATCATAAATTACTCACAACTCTAGTCATATAACTTGAACTTTGATAAAATTCAACATCAAACTCGTCAGAACTGTCACTTGCTTTTTCGACAAAAAATTGTTTAATATCCGTTAAAGTAGCGGGAACTCGGCAACAAGGACAATCTTGTGACTAAAAATGTTAATAATAAAAGTTGGAAAAATATTTTATGTAGATTAGTGGATTTCATAAAAATATAAAGAAAATCATTCAAAAGTCATAAAACCCCTGATAAATGCTATTAATATTAAAAAAAACAAATTTCCTCACCCCTTCAGAAATCCAAGGAGTAATACATTCCTGATGGAATGTATGATTACAATTTTTTAAAGTATAGACATTTTCATGACTCAAACTTTCTAGGCAAACACTACAACAATCAAATTTGTAGGAAACCTTTTTTAGGTCCTAAAAAATTAATTTAAAATATTCCAAAAATATCTCTACAGGTTTGAAATAAAGTCATAATCAAAAATGTCTTAAAACTTAGTATTCACCCAAGCAAAAAATCTAGAAAAAATATAGCAAATATATTTATTAAGACCGATAATAAGAAAAAGAACTAGCTTAAATTTTCATTCTATGTTGACATTTCTATACTCTTAATAGAGCTCGGAATTTTGTACTATACTATGTACGTAATACCGATGATTAAAAAAATAACAGGGCAGTACGGCACCATCCGGGCTCTAAGTTACAGCCTCTAACCCTGAAAATCAATGTAAAACGCTCTCGTAAAACAATATCCTTATTTAGTTTGTTTTAAGGCCGTTCGAAAGCCCCCAAAATACGTTTGGTCTTGTAAATGTAAAAAAATTTGTATTAAAGTTAAGGAGGTTATTTTTAATTAGAAACTAACCAAATATTTACAATACATATTGTTCAATTTAACTGATAAATAATTATTCCTTTTGTCAAATAATTCATGGGCCTTTTTATATAAATTAAATTTTAAAGTTAATTTTTCTCAAACCCTAATACTCAAATATTTCTCACAATTCTTCTTTATCCTTTTACATTCTTTATTCCTCAAAATCCATACAATCCCGAATTTGTTTTAATTTAATTGACAAAAAAAAAATAAAAATTTACATTTTTAAGTTCAGTTCCCAGAAAAATAATTTTCTCGTTTTTTTGATAATTTTCAGCCTTCAATTGTTTAGTTTTTTCTTTAAGTAATTTTTGAAATTTTTGGTTCATTTCTTCAATTTCCTTTTTATGTTGGGAATTTATTTTTTTAAATTTATTTTCATTGTCAGAATTTATTTTTTTAATTTTCTAAAATTATTTTAAAAATTATTTAACAAGAAAATAACCAAACTTTATTACCTTCAATTCATTTTCAAGAAAAAAATTTTTATTTTCAAAATTTAAATTCTTTTCCTTCTCTTTAATAAATTTTATTTGAAGTTTGTTAAAATCAGTTTCAATTTTATTAAAATCCTTTTTCTTTTTTTCAACCAAAATCCAATCAGAATTTGGTGATAATCCTTCTTGAGCCATTTTTTAGAATTTTCTAATATTTGACAAAGTTTAGCTAAATCAAATTCAATAGTTTTCGATCCAAGGAAAAATTACAAGAAAAAATTAATTTTTTAAAACAAAATTAAAATTTTATAAAGTTTAAAAAATTAATTTGATTTTAAATATATTTATAAATTAATTTATTTTAGTTTATTAAAAAATTTTTTGCCAAGAGAATATTTTGTTTTGAATAATTAGGTTGAGAAAAATGTGGAGGAAAAAAGAATTGATACTACAGTGCCGGAAAAAAGTATTGCACCAAGAAAAAAGTATTGCACCTCAACAAATAAATTAATTTCTTACCTCCCCATTTTCTTAACCTATATTCATAACAAAACTTTCTTTCGGCAAAAAATCTTTGAATGTTTTTCATTCACTTTTCCATAACATTTAAATATTTTCTAAAAAATTGATTATAATTTCAATTGAAGTGTGCTTTCTAAAAAAATCTAAAGCGGAAAATTCATTTTTTCGAATTTTAAAACCTCTGAAAAACTATCACCCTAATTGCCTGTTAACCCTAAAGACTTACAAGTTTTCAAAGGGAATGTCGAGGAATTTAGAGGTATTAAAAGGATATCGATGGAGCTTTGTGATTTAAGCGGATATAGATCTCTATTCAGCCAGAGTCCAAGTTATCCAGACCCAGAGTCACCCAAATCTGAGGATTGTCTGAGATTTAACCAATGTCGACGTGCACATGAATTTTTAGTTAAATTTTTCAGATGTAAAATTGTACGATATAAATATTGGACGGAACAGACGAAGGAGATAAAGACTAGCCTGGCTAGTATGATCCAACTAGACTGACGCTAACACTTTTTTATACTATAGTTACACACTGCGTAACAGAACTGACAAGGGAACATTCCGAACTGTCAGTAAAAATTTCTAAATAAAAATTATACCATCGTGTAGAGCGTGGTCGAAAACGTATTATGGTTACTTTCTTTTTTGGCTCCGACCCCCATTTCGAAAAGTTATAGGGGTTCAAAGTTTCCTACTTTTGGAACGGTTGAGTCTCCCTCACTACTTTTATTAAAGAAAATTTTTCTCCTCCATAAGAGAAAAATAAGACTCCCATCCTTCTTTTTTCTTTTCCTTTTCTTTTCCAACATTAGTTAGAGAAAGAGAAAAGGGGGAGAGAAAAGAAAAGGAAAAGAAGCGTCTCTGCCTTGCAGCTAATGTCAATTAAAAAGGAAAGAGGAGAGGGCAGAGATGCCTCTTTTCCTTTTCTTTTCTCTCCTCTTTTTCTCTTTCTTTAGCCAGCACAGGAAAAGAAGAGGGAAAAAATAAAAGAGAAAAGGAGTCTCATTTTTCCCTTTAGGAAGAGAAATAATAAGAAAAGTGAGGGAGACTCAACCGTTCCAAAAGTAGGAAACTTTGAACCCCTATAACTTTTCGAAATGGGGGTCGGAGCCAAAAAAGAAAGTAACCATAATACGTTTTCGATCACGCTCTACACGATGGTATAAGTTTTATTTTGAAATTTTTACTGACAGTTCGGAATGTTCCCTTGTGAGTATATATCTCCATTAATTTCTTTATATTCCCTTTCGAGATTTGTAGTTCTTCAGGGTCAATAGAATTTCTAACAGAGCTGGACTCAAATTAATTTTTTTCAACTAAAAATATATTTTAATAAATTTTTAGTTAAATAAAAATAATTTTTACTTTAAAATAAAAATTCTTTAAAAATGACCGAAGAAGAATCAACAAATTCTGATTGGATTCAAATTGATTTCGAAAATCTTCAAAAAAATTTGGTTGAAGAGAAGGAAAAGACTGTTAAATTAGAAAATGAATTGAAGGAAATGAATAAAGTTTGGAGATTTTTTGTCAAAATTTTTTTGAAAATAAATTTTAGAAAATTGAAAAAATAAATTGTGACAATGAAAATAAAATTGAAGGAATGAAGCAAAATTTTCAGAAATTAATTGAAGAAAATATTAAACAATTAAAAGCTGAATATGATGTATGTTTAAAGAAAAAAGATGAGAAAATTAATTCTTTGGAAGAGGAAATTATAAAGGTAAATAAAAAGATTCTAATTAACTGTCCCTAAAAATGGCATTATCTCATATGGCAAAAAATTTATTTTTAGCACTAGGCGAAAATTTTGAGAATTTAAATTTCGAATTCTATACTCGTTGTATTCCAAATATTTTGATATATAATTTTGTAAAATTTTAAAGATAACTTTTGACAATCAAAAATTAATTGAAGAAAAATTTCAACAATTAAAAACTGATAGTTTAAAGCATGAGAAAAATCAAGCGTTGGAAGGTGAACTTAAAATGGTAAATATTTAATTATAAGGGATATTGAGTAATAGTGTCGTTTCCAGTACCCCTTTTTCTTCCCCAATTTTTTACTCTATGTTTGTACGGAATGGTCAAATCTTCCCCTTTCTCCCAACAAATTTGCCTTTCTATATTTTGCCTAAAACAATCAAAAATTTAAAAGAATATGTAAGCAGCGACGAATTTTGGAGGAAAAAAGGGGGACTGGAAACGACACTATTACCATTTTTGTACCTTTTCTATTTGCTCTATAATTTCCCCTATAAATGTCCTTTGGGTTGAGCGGAAGTACTTGGATATCTGGATACGAAATCGAGAAAATATTGTCGATAAGATGTAGAATTACATTAATTAATGAAAATATATTAAATTCTAGAAAATTCAAGAGTTATTAAATAATTAATGATTTATTAATTATTAATGATTTAAATGATTTATTAATGATTTATTAATTATTAAATAATTTTAATATTTAATAAGAATATAACAATTAACAAGAGTTATTAAAATATTAAATAATTTTTTAAAAAGAATTTTGTCAAAATTAAAAATAAATGGAGTGAAATTGATGATGTATGTTGTGAAAATAAATGTATAAACTCGAACAATCCTATTGGTAAATGTGCTAAAGGAAATGGATTTGTTAACTTAACTTCTGCTGAAAATATTAGTTGGGTTAAAAAGATTGAAGGTTTAAAAAATTGAAATTTAATTTTTTGTAAATATTTTTAGTGAAAAATACTCCCACTTATGTTTATGCAGAAAATCCATTTAGAAAGCCTCAATATTGTCTCAATTATTCATTATATTATTATGAAATTAAATGTATATTTGGGGGAAATTCAAACACGAATGCAGAAAGGATGAGTATTGGTCTTGAAAATTGTAGTACAGAGAATAGTACTGAATTTTATTCTCACTGTACTTCAATTTGTAACGAGAACGATGAAGCATTTAAACTTTTAATATCCTTCAATAATAATGATATTTTTGGTTGTGGATTAGTTTATCCTCCGACTAATTTGACGAATGAATTTCCTTATATTTTCTTTACAAAAAATGGAAAACAAATTGGTAAATATTTAATTAAAAATATTTAAAAAAAGATTATTATTTAAAGGTAAGGGTATATTATTGAAAGAATATTCGGACTCATACCAACCACACGTTTGGCTTAAAAGTTGTTCTGTTGAAGCAAATTTTGGTGATGATTTGGAAACTAAACCATTTACTTATGACATCTCAAAACATACAATTCTTAAAGAATTTTATTGAAATTTTAATTTGTTTTTTAATCGTTTTCATTTATATGCTTTTGATGTTTTAAAATGTTTTTTCTGCATTAAAATAACCAATTTTTTGTTTTAAATAAATAATACTCTCATTATTAAATTATTGTAAGAATTAATACTTTTAATTCAAAACAGATTTCAATTTGATTTTTAACATTATCAGTAAAAGTCGGTTTGTATCTTCCTAAATCTTCCATCTTCCTAAAAATGTAGTACTGTTTCGATATTCAACGATTTGCCAATAGTAATTAAATGTGCGTAGCACTAAGAAAATCTGGTCCTCTGGCGGAGATAAACGGATATAGACAGATATGAGGATCTTTCGACTAACAAATCATTGTCGAAATTGGTCCAACCAAAAAAGTTAATAGAACCATTATTTGAAAATAAAAAAAACAAGGAAATAAATAATAACAAACAAGGAATAATAATGTAAAAAATGATTAAAAAATTGTATGTAAAATAATTTTAAAATTTTCTAAATAATTATGTCAAAAAATAAGTTTAGGGAAATAAAAATAAAACAACCATGAAAAATTAAAATATTATTTATTTAATGTAAAAATTAGAGTTGATCAAGACGAGACCGATACCGAGACCGATACCGAGATTCTCGGCTTTTTTCGAATATCGGTCTCGGTTTTTTCATTCTCGGTCTCGAAACCGATACCGATATTCTCGGCCTATTTCTCGGCGAGAAACGATACTGACACAAAGAAACCAAATTCTCAATATTGTCCAAGTTTTCGTCCATAATTTTTTCGGATATCCGTCCATAACAGTGAAAGTGAATTTTTTTCGAATAAAGTCTTCTAAAATTCAAAAAAATTTTGCCTGCGGCGCTGAAAAGGGAAAAAATTTGGTGACATGTCCTTCCAAAATTTAATAAATTTTCGTCTGCGGCGCTGAAATGTTGAATTTTCCGAGCCCTTGGCCGTTAGATTTTCAAGATTTTGATTAAGAGCCTTACTATTTTCGGCAACTGTTGTTTCCACCAGTGGATTAAGGGGATTTAAAATGATCGGAAGCAGGGATGAGCGCATTGAGTTTGCGTTTTGAGGGCAAAAATTGGAAGACTTGTTGTTGATGATATCTAATGAGTTGGATGATGAAAAAAATGAATAAATTATTTTTACACGTATTTTTTGACATAAAATAAAAATTTCTGTTAGTCTCGGTCAGTATCGTTTCTCGGTATCGGTCTCGGCTCAAAATGTTGGTATCGGTATCGGGTTCTTGAATATCGGTCAATCTCGGTCTCGGGTTGGCCGATACCAGTATCGTTTTGATCAACTCTAGTAAAAATTAAAAATTTTAAATGAAAAAGTCAGAATATTAAGAGCAATTCAATAACAATATTACGATCACCATCAGATTATTTGTTCATAATGACGCGATTATTAAGTTGACGTGTCATTTTTTGCCTGTATTTGAATAAAAAAAGACAATTATTGTTTAATAAAATATAATATGACAGAAATTTCTAATAATTTTAAAATTTAACGGCGGATAAAAAGTCCGGAAAAGAAATGCCTTCTTAGTAAGAAAAGGAAAGCTTTACTAAATATCTTAGTAAACATACAACTTATTTTTAATTTTGCTTGAAAAAACAGCTGATTAAAGTCTTATAAATGAGAGAATAATCCGAACATAATAAACATAAAAATATTTTTAAATTCTAATCTTAAAATCCCGTCAAAATACTAAAATAAAAATGTATTCTTCAACTCTTTGCTTTTTATTCGTAGTTGCTTTAATTGCACAAATTGTGGATTTGGCACCTCCACCTGCTCCTGTTGTTGCTATTGATCAGGTATTTTATAATTAGATATGGGGCTATGCATTTACGGAAATAATATAAGCTACCTCTGGGCATTTACTAGGTACTTCACAAAATTACAAAAGTACTCTCCCTAAATACCTCAGTAATTCCCGAAGATATGGGCCATATCTAATATCGATATCATAAATTTATCTTAAGCCAAAACAATTTCGTGTTAAAAGAGCAAGATGCTACAACTACAACATTCGCACGCAAAAATGTAAAAATCCACGTTGCCCAAGATGTCCAGCTTCTTCTTCAATGTCATCAAAAAATCCAAACATTGCTACTTGTTGTTATTAAGAAGGATTTTTTAATTTTTGTAAAATAATAAAAAGCTCTAACTATAATATAATTCACAATAGTTAGCTAATGTTAAACAAAATATGAATTTTTAATTAAATAAAGTGTATCTTTTAGCAAACTTATTGGAACAGTTTTATGGATCTAGCCCAAAAGTCATCCCAGCAAGGTCCGGTACCTTTTGTTTAGGACAATAGCCCTACATCAACAGAAATAAGCTACACCTCGCATGATAGCCCGACATGCAATTTTTCGGTGTAATTCCCAACAGCCACGGTAATTCCAGCTTTGTAGTGGTCTTTTTTCACAATAAATTCCCCATGTATTTATTAGCTTGCCCAATCCACTTTCAATAAAATATAACACAGATATTGCACGTTTAACGAGAGATGAATAATCAAAACTTTTTAATCTTTAAATTAATTTTTGATTTTGCGTATGAAAATACATACATTTAAATACTTTAAAAAATAATTAAGTAATCAAAATGTTTTAAATTAGACGCCTAAAAACTATTAAATTTGCCTATTTTTTTAAATCTATTTTTAATTTAATTCTAGACATTTTTAATCATCCCTCAACATTTATTTTTTTTTATTTAAAATATTCCCTCAACAAATAAATTAATCCTTTCCCTCTGTGTTTTTCTCAACACATATGTACATTCTCCAAAAACTTTCTCTGGGCAAAAAATCCTTCAATATAAAATTAATTTTTTATTCAGTTTTACTCTATGTATATTTTCTAAAAAATAAATTAAATTTTTTCCATGATAATTTAAATTTTGTTTAATAAAAATTAATATAATTTTTATAAAGTTTAATTATTAGGTATATCAAAATTCAATAAAGAAAATTCTTCTGATATCTTAAAATGCCTCTCGGTTCTTCAGTTCAATTCCGAATCGACAAGCATATTTGTGAATGTTTAGAATATATTTAATCCTTTAATTTATTTATTTACAAATAGATTTCTCAAAGGAACCCATTAAGTGATAATGGAAACCCTACTTAAGATCGAAAACTTTAATTCAACTATTTTTTCTGATTTGGGTAAAACTTCGATTTGTGTGATGCGTAATGCATTCTTTATCATTTTTCCTTCTCCTTATAGAAAATGAAAAAGTGTTTTTTGGATAATTTAGAGAGGTTTGCCAGGAAGTAATCGAGATTGCTGAGTTGAGTCCAAATATTAGTTGAAATTTTATTTGTTTGAACACCGTACCCAAATTTTACTTCAATTTTAAAATTAAAAATTTTATAAAAAACTGATCACTACTTCGAGCTCAAAGTTTCGTCCTGGATCCTTAATATAAGACTGGCACACATAATTACCTACTGGTAAATCTAAAATATCGAAAACGCACTTCTTCCTCCTTTTTTTCCAGGGAGATTAAAATGAGAAAAAGTGCGTCATCCAAACCGAAGTATTACACTGATTCGAAATATTCATTTTTGAGATTCTAACATTCTTTGTATTTTTGTCTAAATTTGTGATAAAATAAGAAATCAATTTTCAGAAGATTAATTTTAAAAATAAATATGAGGACACCAAAACAATTAGAAGAATGGTCATTTTCTGCAAATAATTCTGATAATAAAAGTAAAATTGAGGATGAAACACTTGTAGAAGAAATAGATAATTTTACAGAAACGTCTAGTGTTGATGGGCTGTCTACTACATGTGAATCCTGTTGTCCATCAAAAAATATAATTAAAGTGTTAAAACAACGTGTGGAGAAATTAGAGGTTAAAATTATTTTTATTTGAATTATTAGAGTAAATTTAAATCGTACGATGCTTTTACTTTACCGGCCAGTTTTTTCTGCGCGATGGCTTCGTACAAATGAGAACCTGACTTTATTTAAAGATATATTTATTTTAGTTGAAATTGAAAAATAATAATCTTTATCTGGAGAATAATAATTTAAAGATGCAAATGGCAAGTTTTTCTTGTTTTATTTTTTGTCTGAGCTTCCATTTAATTTTAGAAAATACAAACAATAAATTTTGACCATAAAAATGAAATTGAAGAAATAAAACAAAAATTTCACAAATTAATCGAAGAAAATATTCAAAAATTAAATGTAGAAAAGGATATTTATTTAAAACAAAAAGATGATAAAATTAATTATTTGGAGGAAGAAATTAAGGAGGTAAAAAATTAACTAAAATATAAACGAAAGACGTTAATAAATACATTGAATACGGTTAATCATCTACGATGAAACATCTTTATCGGAAAGATGTTTTTTTAATGTTTGAATATTTTAATCAACATACCATAGACTTCTTAAAATTATAATATATGTATTTAATTTTGTTTCAGCAGTAAATCTATTTCACTCTGAAAAAACCATTTTATAAAATCTAATATTTAATTTTAGACATTACAAAAAATAAATTGTGATAATGAAAATAAAAATGAAGAGATAAAACGAAATTTTCGACAATTAAAGGCTGAAAATGATCAAAAAGATGAGAAAATTAATTTTTTGGAAGAAGAAATTAAAAAGGTAATTAATTTGTTTTTAGTTAAAAATAAATTCAATGAGAAAATAAAATGTTTAGATGGGAAATCTTTTGTTAAATTAAAAAAATTAATTTTTAAAAGTTAATTTATATAAATAGGCTAATGGTCTATTTGAGAAGCAGATTTGCGATTTAACAGTCAAGTTGAATAATGTGGTTTTTAAATGTGTGGTTAGTTTGTAATTTTAATAAAATAATAATTATTCATTAAAGGATTTTGTTAAAATTAAAAATAAATGGAGCGATATTCATAGTGGATGGAAATGTTGTGACAATAAATGTATAAATAAAAACAAACCTATTGGCAAATGTATCAAAGGAAACGGATTTGGAAATTTAATTAATGATGAAAATATTAAATATATTAATTGTTTGGAAGGAGGTAGATTATTATCTTTTTTCTTTATTTTTTTATTCTTAGGTTCTGATAATTCCTTTGCTGTTTTTGCAGAAAATCCATTCAAAAAACCACAAAACTGTTTTAACTATACTTTATATTATTTTGAGATTAAATGTAATTTTGAAAGAGAGATGATTAAAGATTTAAATTGGATGAATATTAGTCTTAAATGTGCTAATGCAAACAAATTTAATAAATTTGCTGCAAAAAATACAACAATTTATAACGAGACAAATGAAGCATTTAAACTTTCAACAGTTATCAATAATAATGACATTTTTGGTTGTGGATTAGTTTATCCTCCAACTAATAAAATGAATGAATTTCCTTATGTTTTCTTTACTCAAAATGGAAAACAAATTGGTAAATTTTAATTAAAATAATCATAAAAAATTGTTTTTTAAAGGGAAAGGTGTATTATTGAATGACAATGATGACTCATATAAACCGTGTGTTTGGGTTCAATGTTGTTCGATTGAAACAAACTTTGGAAATGATTTGGAATCAAAACCGTTCAAATATGACGTTTCAAAACATTTCATTATTAAAGAATTCTATTGAAATTTTGTTTTTAATTTATTCGTCTTGATTTATTTTTTTTATCAATTATAACCAATTTTTCAATTCTTAAGTAAAGTATTTATGGAAAGAAAAATTTTTCTAATATTAGGAATTTAGGAAAGAATTTTATTGTTCCTAACATAATACGATCAAAACTTGGGCGAATATTTAATACCCCGATTTATATATACCCTGGTTTTCCATTGATTCTCGGAACCCACTAGGATATTCTATCCTAGTTACCTAGTTAAAAAGTCTTAAATTTTTCAAAATTTCAATTAAACAGAAAGGTCATCAATTTGGTCTTAACGTTAATTTGAATTGAGTTAGGGGCAAAACTCCAACCGAAATCTTCCATACTCGGGAAAAATCAGCAAATTATTTTTAATTAAAAATTTTTATTTCGATTTTCGATTCCGAAAATTTTGAAAATTATTTTCGATTTCGATATTTTTGATTTCCTTCAATTTCAATTTTCAAGGATTTTTTATTTCGAAACAGCTTAAATGCCCGCCCATTATTCCTAAACACATTATCTAAACATTTTGGTTTGCGCTTCTTTTTTTGCTTCTTTTTCTTTCTTATATTTTAATTAAAAATCCTAACAAAATGACTGAAGAAGGAGATCAAATTCTGATAATGATTTAATTAAGCTTAAAACTAAGTTTAATGATCTTCAAATAAAATTTATAGAAGAGAAGAAAAAGACTTTTAATCTTGAAAAGAAATGTTTTTTGCTTGAAAATGAGTTGAAGGAAATGGATAAATTTTGGATTTATTTTTGAATATTTTTTAAATAATTTTAGAAAATTCAAAAAGTAAACTCGGACAATGAAAATAAAATTGAAGAATTAAAACAACAATTGGTAATATTCAATTTCGTTCCCCCCTCCTTTTTTCCTTCCTCAAAGTATTACAAAATGGTCAGTCAATCTTAAGTTATAGAACTCGTCGAGCTGTGTCAAATGACACCAAAATCGAAAAAATCGGACCTGATTTGACCGAGATACAGACCCCTGAAAATTGAACAACCATAGGGGCGAAAAACCATAAAGACGTAAATTCATACAAATGATGGTATCACGACTTTTGCGCCGAGAACATTTGCGCCGCGACTTTTGCACCGGGCGACTTTTGCGCCGCGACTCATGCGCCGCGACTTTTGCGCCGGGCGACTTATGCGCCGCGACATTTGCGCCGCCATTGTTTAAAAAATCCGGATCCGAAAAATGCCGGATATCCGAAATTTTCAGTTCGAATATAGGATCCGAAAATTCCAACTATCCGACAACCCTACTAAAGGGAGGTCCGGCTGTAGTTATTGATATATTTTTAATGATAGTGGCGGCGCAAAAGTCGCCCGGCGCAAAAGTCGCGGCGCAAAGGTTCCCCGGCGCAAAAGTCACTCGGCGCATAATTCGCGGCGCAAGAGTCGCGGCGCAAATGTTCTCGGCGCAAAAGTCACGGAACCATTCGAAAGAGCTCTTTGGGTTGAGTCGACTATTTGAAGAAAATTATAAGAAAATTAATATTATTGAGGAAGGAATTGAAAGGGTATATAAGAATATTTAAAAAAAAGTCTCTTTTATTATTTTAATTTTTTAAGGATAAAAAATTCGAGTTAAATGAAGATGCCTGTGATTCAACTAGAATTTTTGGGGTCGCTTTAGTATAGGCCCACCGAGATCGGAACTTGTGGTATATACCATTCGATTCGTCTCGCCGAGCTGAGTTCAAATATGCAAGAATTTTCTGCGGGAGACGAAAACTCGCAGAGATACAGGCCCCCGAAAATTGGAAAACCATAGGGGGGACCAAGCACTTTTTTGGGGTGAAAAATTCGAATATGCAAATGATAGCTCATTCGAAAGAGCTCCTCGAGCTGAGTCGAATGACACCAAAATCAACAAAATCCGACTTGATTGGACCGAGATATAGACCCCTAAAAACCGCTGATCCAAAGGGGCGATTTTTGGAATAAAAATTTTTTTATACAAATAATACCTCATTCAAAAGAGCTCGACGAGCTGAGTCAAATGACACCAAAATCACTGTGATTGAACAAGATTAGACAAAGTTATGATACAAAAAAACCTAGACCTATGGAGCGTCGGCGAGGCGCTTGTGCAAAACCCCGCGCTTCGCGCAGGGTTTTGCGGCACGCGCCTTGCGGGGAGTCTACGGGCTCTGGGTCTGGGCTCGTAACATAAACCTATTCCTATCTCCCTTGCTCTGGACGTATTTGGGGCCTCCGTAGCAGCAAAAATCTCTACAGATGCCATAGGTAAGGAGCTAAAAGAAAAGATCATAACTTTGTCCAATCATGTCTGATTTTGTTGATTTTGGTGTCATTCGACTCAGCTCGAGGAGCTCTTTCGAATGAGCTATCATTTGCATATTCGAATTTTTCACCCCAAAAAAGTGCTTGGTCCCCCCTATGGTTTTTCAATTTTCGGGGGCCTGTATCTCTGCGAGTTTTCGTCTCCCGCAGAAAATTCTTGCATATTTGAACTCAGCTCGTCGAGACGAATCGAATGGTATTTACCACAAGTTCCGATCTCGGTGGGCCTATACTAAAGTACATCCCAATTTTTAATGAAACATTTAAACGATTTAAAGAACATTGTTATCAAGCAAACGGAACGAGCGAATTTCGCAAATGCCTGATGAAACGAATAAAAATGGAAATTGATTTAAATTAAATTATTTTTTGAATTTTATAAATTTAAATGTGGTCTAGAAATATAATTATTTTTTAATCATTTTTGAGTAAAAACAAATACAATTTAAATATTTATTATTCAGACACAATACTGAAAATTACTTTTTAGACCAAAATTTTTTTTTATTCAATTTTTTAAATACTCAACGCCAATATTCTTAAATAATTATTTTTAAACACAATTATTATTACATTTTACTTTTTTTTTTTATAAAATAAATTTAAAATTAGTTAATTTTAATTTTTAAATTCTATTAAGTGATTATTTAGAAAAAGAAAAAAATAGTAAAAGAAATTTCAACTTTTTTAAAGTTTTGTAATTCCCCCTTAATTATTCTCAACTAACGACATTTTTTTGAAAGCAATATTTTTTGTTAAGGAATTAATTGAGTAAATTATAGGAACGAGAAATAAGGGAAATAGATTTTAAATTTTAAAGACAATATAAAAACCCGGATGCAAAATCAGTACAAATTCTGTATTAAATAAATTTTGAAAAAAATTTTGGGACTACTGATTAATGTTTAGTAAACTTTTTTCTCAATGGTGATATAAATAAATTCAAGTTTTTTTGCTTTTAAATTAAGCCTGATGATGAAAATATCGATCTTCGTAATAATAAACTAATTTCTCTATTTTGCGTGAACAAAAACTAAAATGCAATTTAATAGTTTCTGAAAAAGGTTAAATTTATTAATAATTTTGTCATCCTCCGCAAGTTAAAAATAAATTAAATTTTTGCACTTTAAATCTCAGAACTAGAGATCGGCGAGTTGGATATTAATGTTTACCAGGAATTGCAAATCCAAATCACTAATTTTTTTAATTACTAAAAGTCCGAGCAAGTTTTCAACTGAGATTTTTATACTCATCAAAAATTAGCAAATTATGCTTTACATGAAATGTAATTTTTAAAAAATTAAGTATTTGAGAAAGTATAGAAGCATTATTGAGTAATTATTTAATTGAAAAATAAAATTGATGAAAAAATAAATTGTTAAAATAAAAAAATTAATCAAAAAAATTCCTTAAGTATTAAATGTTCTGAGATGTCATATTTAAATGGTTTAGCTTCCAAATCATTTCCAAAATTAGCTTCAACCGAACAACATTTTAGATAAACAAATGGTTTGTATGAATCGAAATTGTCCTTTAATAATACACCTTTACCTTAAAATTAATTTTTGTAATAATTTATTTAAATATTTACCAATTTGTTTTCCGTTCTGAGTAAAGAAAACATAAGAAAATTCATTCAACATATTAATTGGAGGATAAACTAATCCGCAACCAAAAATGTCATTATTATTCCAAGAAAATGTTGGAAGTTGTAATGATTCTCTGTTATATATTTCACCATCTCTTGCAGAATACCGAATATAATTGCTTGTACTACAATTTCTAAGACCAATAGTCATATATAAACTGCTACCATTTAATTCTTTTTCAAATTTACATTTAACTTCAAAATAATATAAAGAATAATTAAAACAATTTTGTGGTTTTTTGAATGGATTTTCTGCATAAACAACAACATCTCTATCATAACCTAGAAATATTTTTTGAAAATTCCAAAAATTCTAAATAATTAACCTCCATTCCCCACAAAGTATTTAATATTTTCATCATTAATTATATTAGCAAATCCATTTCCTTTAGTACAATTACCAATAGGTTTATTTGTATTTATACAATCATTTTCACAACATTTCCAGACACTACCAATTTCTTTCCATTTATTTTTAATTTTAACAAATACCATATTATTTACTAAACTAACCACAGAATTTAAATTATTGAAATTAAATAAATCATCAATCTTTTTGTCGGTTAAATCATTTGCCTTTATTAAATAAAATTTTAATTAATTTAAAAAATATTTTTCTATTTTCTTTAAAATTATTTTAAATTCAAAAGTTTAATTGGAGAAACTAAATTGATTATTTACCTTTTTAATTTCTAATTCCAAAGAATTAATTTTCTCATCCTTTAGATTTAAATCTTGCTTTATTCCTTTCATCTCGTTTTTATGTTCAGAATTTAATTTTTGAATTGTCTAAAATTACTATTTTAAAAAATTATTTTAAAAAATCCAAACTTTATCCATTCCCTTCAATTCATCTTCTACATTAACATTCTTTTCCTTCTCTTCATTAAATTTTAATTCAAGATTATTAAAATTAGTTTGAAGTTTAATTAAATCATCGCTTTGATTATGCAACTTTAGAAAGAATTTTTTTTAATTTTTATAATTATTTATGTAGATTAGTTAATTACCTTTTTAATTTCTTCCTCCAAACAATTAATTTTCTCATCCTTTTGCTTTAAAGAGATATCATCTTCAGCTTTTAATTGTTTAATATTTTCTTCAATTAATTTTTGAAAATTTTGCGTTATTTCTTGAATTTCATTTTTATGATCAGAATTTATTTTTTGAATTTTCTAAAATTAGATATATATTAAATTAGTTACACGGAGCTACGTTTAATTTTTATAAAATGAGTGTTGCCAATTTTATATTTTTTGTAAAACTCATTTAATAATTTTTCTATTTACCTTATTAATTTCCTCTTCCAAAAAATTAATTTTATCCTCCTTTTGCTTTAAATTCTCATCATTTTTAGCTTTCAAAATTTTAATTTCTTTTTCATGTTCAGAATTTATTTTTAAGATCTCCTAAAAATATTGAAATTATTAAGCCATTGGCATTTTATTTTTAAATTATTTTTAGACTTTAAAATAGCAAAAGATGAACTAAAGACAAAGTCGATTTGGGAATACACTGTATTCCTCAACAGGGATGTGCGTCATGGCGTTTTGGCGTGACGTTTTGGCGTGATTTTTGGCCGATTTTGGCGTCCTGGCGTTTGGCGTGATTTACATCTTTTGGCGCGTCAAAACGCCAAAATTATACACCCATAATGATGGGAATTTTCCAAATAAATGGGGGAAGTGTTTTCAAAAAAATGAAATTTTTTTGCCTGCAGTCTTCCAAAATTTGCAAAATTTTCGCATGCGGCGCACCAAAAAAGGAAGAAATCTACTTATTAGCTTTCCAAAAATCACGAAATTTTCGCCTGTGGCACTAATAGAAGGAAGCCAATATCCATCAAATCCTATTAATCTACCAAAGTCCACTAATGTCCTCCTTAATCCTCTATAAGTCCCTTACTTAGGGAGGTTAAAGAGGATATCTGGACATCTAAACCCTTCGATATTCTACAATTCTGGGGTTGTGATTTTTCCATTTTTTTGCAATTTTTTAGAAAAATAGGATTTCTGCTCTTGTTCTTAACAAATTTCCATAATTTTGGGTGAAGGCGCTAAATAAAGGATGAATTTTGGCTTCTGGAAGTCGTGAAAATTTAAAAATTTTCGCCTGCGGCGCTAAAAAAATGAACACTTGTTTTTTGGGCTTTAGTAGAATAAAATTTTTGGCGTTTTGGCGTCGTTTTTGGCCGATTTTAGCGTTCTGGCGTTTGGCATGATTTGAAAATTTGAAAAATTGGCGTTTGGCGCGCCACGCGAAAATTCTGGCGCACATCCCTGTTCCTCAACTCTGTATTTGGAAATGTAAAATACAGTTAAATTTTTAATCTACATTGTCTTAGGGAAATATAGAACAGGAAATTCTAAAAATAGGCTTACATCCCAGGGTTTTTCAATATTCTTAAAAAAATAAATTTCGGCCCACAGGATTTCTGTACATATATTCTAATAGAACTACACTCCCTAATATAAGGGTTCCGTGACTTTTGCGCCGCGACACTTGCGCCGCGCTTTTGCGCCGCGACTTATGCGCCGAGTGACTTTTGCGCCGGGGAACCTTTGCGCCGCGACTTTTGCGCCGGGCGACTTTTGCGCCGCCACTATCATTAATAATATATCAATAACTACAGCCGGACCTCACTTTAGTAGGGTTTTCGGATGGCTGGAAATCTTCGGATATCCGGATCCGATTTCAGAACTGAAAATTTCGGATATCCGGCATTTTTCTGATCCGGATATTTTAAATAATGGCGGCGCAACTGTCGCGGCGCATAAGTCGCCCGGCGCAAAAGTCGCGGCGCTAGAGTCGCGGCGCAAAAGTCGCCCGGCGCAAAAGTCGCGGCGCATAAGTCGCGGCGCAAATGTTCACGGCGCAAAAGTCGTGATACCAATATAAGCACACCCTGTAGGGTGTGCTTATCTACATTGTCTTAGGGAATGAGAAATAGAGGCACATGTGGTTATATTAGAACATTTACTGTATAATGGAAAAAACTTGGGAAAGAAAAAGGGAACCCTAAACCGTTGTTTACCCTTAGAAATTTGAAAAGATGAAAAAAAAGAACTTGCATTTTGAAGTCTTAGTCCATAATTTTCCAAAGATAAATCCAATTTCAACTAAAATGTAAATTTATTTTTTAAGATACCTTCGTTCATAACAATAAGGGTAAAATGAAACTGTAGAATACAGCTCGCTTTGTTTTCACCCATCGGACAGAAAAATCAGACGTGATAACATATGAACGTACATATGAGATCCGTAGGTCATGAGATAAGGAATTATGAAGATTTCCCTTCAACCCTCAAAATCGCCAATATATTAATTTTTTCCCCTTCAACCCTCAAAATCGCCAATATATTAACCCCTATAGAAAGTAAAATATTGTGCTACAAAAGAGGGTTGACTCAGATTCAGAGGTGGACTCATATCCATCTATCATAATTCAACACTAAATTGTTTTTTAACCTCTAATTTGTCCAAACGTTGTTTTAAACTTCCATTTATATTTTGTTTTGAACAAAAAGAACTACAACATATATTAGATAAACCATCAATACTTGATGTTTCCAAACAACTTGTTTCTGTTAAATTATCTTCTTCTTCCACAAGCGTTTCATCTACAATTTTATTTTTACTATTATCAGAATTGTGTGTAAAAAATGACCATTCTTCTAATTGTTTTGGAGTTTTCATATTTTTTAAAATTTATTTTTTAAAAAGCCTGTTTAATGTGTGATTAATTTTAAAAATAAAGTCAACTTTTTAAAAAAAAGTTGAATAAATTCGATTAAATTAAATTTAAAAAATCCTTCTAAAACGGTTATATCTATAAAAAAGTATAAAAAAAAACAAGCAAGATATTTGTGTTATTGAATTTAAATTATAATCTAACTTTTATGGTAAGTTTAAAACATAAATGAATAAAAAATATTTATATACTGAAACGGTTTTTGCCCAAAGAGGCGGTTTTGTTGTAAATATATTTATTTGTTGAGGAAATTTTTTAAAAATAAAAAATAAAAAAATGTTTTGAGGGAATTGTGGTTAAGGGGCAAACAAGTTTTTTAAAACGTATCAGGCTAAAACTTGGAATGGACAAAACAGTCTAATTATAAAATAATTTATATTTATAAAATGGTATTTTCTTTTGACATATTTTAAATATTTGCCTTTCCCAATTTATTTTCGAATTATTCCCTCAGAAAATATTTTTTTCTTTCTTTAATTTTTATCAATTTTTCTATTACATTTCCCCAAAACATTATTTGAATTTATTCCTCATTATATTTTCTTATTTTACCCATTGACTTTAACCTAAATAAGTAAACTTATACATACATATATTCAACTTCGCCCGCTATTTATATCACTCATATTTTCCACTATTTGTCTCATTTAAAGACTTATTTTGAATTTTTATTTTTAATTAAATCCTAATTATTTGAAAGAGTCCAATTTAAATATTTATTCCAATTTAAATATTTATTTGCAGCCATAGATTAAGGATATTGATGGTTAAATTCAATGGGCATGAAAATCATTAAATCTACTTCATGAAATGCCCATTCTTAGAACCTTAAAAATTTAATGAAGTACAACTTAATGAAAAAATTTTCTGTAAAATAAAATTACTGGTAAGCAAATTTAAAGGGCTTGCAGAAAAGTATGAAATAAAATTTTAATTTAGTCTATAAGGGGTCGAAAATATTTTTTAAAAACGTTTACTCCCGGTTTCCTGTTGATTTCCGAGTTTTCTATCGATATCAATAGATATGTTTACAGGAAATTTTGTAGATTTTTTGACCGCTCCTAATGTCGAAAATTTAAAATGTGCCAACCTTTTGTTACAGTAATTAATCGCATTTAATTTTATAAAAAAATTTAAAAAATGGTTTTTCCGCCCGTGGTTTCTTAATAGCATTTTATTTATCAAGCCTAATCATGAGTGTTTTTTAGTAAAAGTCTGTTTCTTTTAGAATAATTTAATTAAAGATTTGTATATATAATGACAGAAAACTCAACCAATTCTGCATCGGAATTAGAAGTAATTTTTTAAAAATTAATTTAAAAATTTTATAAAGGTATATAAACAAATCGATGATTTAATAAAACTTCATAAAGAATTTAACAATCTTCAAAAAAAGTTTAATGAAGAGAAGGAAAAGAATGCTAATCTTGAAAAGAAAAATAATTCTCTTGAAAATGAATTAAATGAAATGAATAAAGTTTGTTATTTAAATTAACTAGTTTTGGGTTATCCCTAATTTGGGTTATCCCTAAAGACATTCAGTGTCAATGCCTGTGAAGGGAAATCGAGGGATTAAGTTTGATAAATACCCAGTTCTGTATTTTAGAACCAATGGTCCAGTATTGTAACTCTGGGTGAATAGAGAACTATCACATTCAACCACAGCAAATCTCTCAATATTCCCTTTTGATATTCCCTTCTAAAAGTTGTTGATGGTCAGTCAATATGTAGGTCATATAGATCTTCAGCGATGGTCTCTTCATTTTAATTTTAGAAAATTCAAAAAACAAATTCTGACAATGAGAATATAATTGTAAAAATAAATGGTGAAAATGAAACTGAAATTAAAAAGTTAAAACAAAATATTCTGCAATTAAAAACTGAAAATGATCAGAAAGAAGAGAAAATTAATTCTTTGGAGGAAAAAATTAAGGAGGTAAATAAATAATTTAATTTTTCGAATGAAAATATGTATAAATATAAAATAGTACATGTATGTATATTATGTTTATTAGGTAAATTCTTGTGTTAATTTTAAATAATATGAAATCTTTTAATTCATAAAAAGGCAGATGATTTATTTGAGAAAAAGTTTTGTGATATAGCAATTAAATTGAACAATGAGATTTTTAAATCTGTGGTTAGTTTATAATTACATATAATTATTAATCAATCTTTTAAAAGAATTTTGTTAAAATTAAAAATAAATGGAGTGAATTTGAAATTAATAGTGAAGTCTCCAAATGCTGTAACAACATGTGTATAAATACAAACACTCCTATCGGTAAATGTATTAAAGGAAATGGATTCGGAAATATAATTGATGATGAAAATATTAAATATATTGTTAAAAACGGAGGTAGATCATTGAATTTTTTGAATATTGGAAATATTTTTAGGGCTTGATAGGGATGTATTTGTCTATGCGGAAAATGCATTCAACAAACCACAAACTTGTTTTAATTATTCTTTGTATTATTTTGAAAATAAATGTGAATTTGAAGGAGATTTAAATTGTGCCAAAGCATGGATGTATATTGGTCTTAAGAATTTGAGTACAAATAAACATATTCTCTATCATGCGAAGGATGCTAATATTAAAAACGAGAAAAATGAAGCATTTCACATTCCGACAATTTTCAATAATAATGATATTTATGGATGTGGATTAGTTTACCCGCCAACTAATAAAATCAACGAATTTCCTTACATTTTCTTTACTCAAAATGGAAAACAAATTGGTAAATATTTAATAATAAAAATAATTTTAAAAATTATTTTTTAAAGGAAAGGGTATATTATTAAAGGATAACTTCAACTCATATAGACCACGCGTCTATGTGTATTATTGTTCTGTAAAAACAAACTTTGGAAATGATCTGGAGACTAAACCGTTTAAATACGACATTTCAAAACATATAATTCTTAAAGAATTTTACTGAAATTTTTTTGATTAACTTTACTTCGATTTAAATTATCGTTTTTAATTTTTATGCCTAACTTTCTAAATAAAGAAAACTTAATTTCTATTTAGCTTGTTTATCCAAAAAATCGCCTTTCAAAATAACAGTACTTATGGGCTCGAACATTTTGTCGTTTATAGAACAATTTGTTAGAAAAATACGAACACAAAGAACCATTAAGATGGCTAATAAAGCCTGTACATTATAACCATTTTCAATAAAATCTAAACAATGTTTTTTTAATTTCTGAATTTGACTCTCGTTATAACCCCTAATCAAGGGAGCCGATAGATATGTTTATATAACTAATATGGCGTTATATTTACATTAAGAATAATTTTGAGGACTTTTGCTAGGGTTTGTTAACTAAATAATCCGAGCGACTTTATGCCCAGGTTATAACCCGTGTCAATTATATGGATATTGTAAATTAGGTAAATAAATTTAAGTCTAAGAATTTATTCATTTATTGCTTGAAACTGCTGACTAATAAAAAATTTTTTTACTAAAACTAAACTAAAATGAAAACTAAAAATACTATGTAATAGAGTTCGAACCCGGGCCGGGCCCGGACCGGTTTTTTCCGGGCCCGGTAGCCCGGAACCGGGTATTTTTGAGAAAATCCGGTTTTTCCGGGCTAACCGGTTTTTCCGGTTTTATCCGGAAAAACCGGCCCGGGTGCGATCCTGAGTAAAAAAACCGGGTCCCGGGCCCGGTAATTTTTTGCCGGGCCCGGAGTCTTTTTGACGAAGAAGAAATATGTCTTAAGGACTCAGAAATTTCCCAAAATTTTCGCCTGCGGCGCTGAAAATGGAAGAAATTTGGCTTTTTAAGCTCCAAAATTCAAAAAATTTTCGCCTGCGGCGCTAAATTCGAAGAAAGCTTTTACGTGTTTTGCTAGAGTAGACCAGCCTTACGCCGCCCAGCCTACCATAGTCGTAAATCTTTATATTTGTGATTTAAAAATATTAAAAATTTTTGAAACCCAATTTGAATATGCTAAAGTTGTACTCCAAATTGGATCAAGGCTAAAATTACTCCAAATTAAGATTAAGATACATCAGGGTGACCCTTTTACCCTATTTATAGGGCATTTGCCCTATTTTTGACCTTTTCGCCCTAGTTTTTCCCTATTTTTTCATTTGCCATATTTTTGCCCTATTTTTACCATTTTGTAAAATTCTTACTATTTTTTTATTTCGTAAGTGAAATGGCTGAAAATGGAAGAAATCTGACCGTTATCCTTCCAAAATTCCTAAAATTTTCGCCTGCGGCGCAAAAAATGAAGAAATCTGGCTTCTTGGTTTTACAGAATTCTCAAAATTTTCGCCTGCGGCGCTGAAAAAGGAAGAATCTTTAAAGACTTTTTGTGAAATTGAAGGTCTGCGGCGTTAAAAAAGAAGATAAAGAAGGTCTTGAGTGGCTCCTAATCCCAATATATCCCTAATTGACTCAACTTTTTAGTGCTTCCAGTTTTTCTGTTGTTAAGAATGTGAAAACTTACGAAATAAACAGAATGAAGGTCAAATTACTTAAGTCACTTGTCTCTATTAAAATTAATTCTTATTTTAGTTATACCCAGGCGCATGATCTCATTATTTCTAAACCAAATTTACTTAATTTAGTTCACACTAGTGAAAAATATGCGGAATCAAGCTTTTTATTAAAATTTTAATCATTTTCGAAGTGTTTTAAATAATGCCCTATTTTTGGCCATTTTCGCCCTATTTTTGCCACATTTTTGAGTGGCTGCGCCCTATTTTAGTGGTTTGGAAAGGGTCACCCTGAGATACATATATGCCAATTTAAAAGGATTAATGGGTAAATTGTAGAGAGACAAGTTGTGTTGCATAATTGAATTTTAGGGAATCTCGAGACAGGCAAATTTGAAAAGATTAAAGAGATTTAGTGGAATTTGGGTGATAGAAGGGATATAGAAGGGAAATAGAAGATATCTCAATGGATAGATATCTCTTTTAACCCGCTTAATATCCCTCTTGATCGATTACTAAAGTGGTATACTCCAAAGTGAATTTGGAAACGTGTGATTTTAATAGGATATCGGAGGATTAATGTGGATCTATCGTTTAAGGGATTAAGGTGGATATCGAAGATTTGTAGGGTCCACTCTTGTTTTTGTTATGCTTTTGTCACGAATCTAGCTCTTGGGATGCATATTTATGATTTAATGAGTTGACCCTTTTTGGCCGTGAAGATGAGTTAATGATTGGTTGAGTTAAGGATTTTTTGATTAAATAAATAATTTTTTCATGTTTTGATAAATTTAGAAAAAACCGGGTCCGGGCCCGGGTCTGAAAAAATCCGGTTTTTCCGGTTTTATCCGGAAAAACCGGTCCGGGTGCGATTTTGTGAAAAAAAACCGGGTTCCGGGCCCGGCATTATGAAAAGTTCGAACTCTACTATGTAGTAATAGAAAATTATGCACATAAGTAAATTAATTTATAAAATTAAGAAAAGGAAATCAACAAAAATATGATTCAACAGATAAACGATTAAATAGTTTATAAATTTAAAATTCATTACTTGTATAGAATAAATTAACTAATTTTTTAAGTATGTAATTAAAAGTTTCATCTAGACCGGTCGAGCACGACCGTTATGTTTAATGACAGCCTTCTCCTTCAACCATGTTTGCTTCAGAGAGGTATACGGCCTTCCTAGTATAGTCCGAACCCTATTCTTTGCTGTATAGGATAGACAACGATCCTATTTACTAGATTTTATGATTTTTTGTCTCTTGTGTTTCATTTTTGGTAATTTAAAATTTATGGTGCAAATGCTTGAGAATTTCACTACGAGGTAGCGAAGTTCAAAAAATCATAACTTTATGAATATCACTCATATATACCTAAACCTGGTATTAAAATGAAGAGTAGATTCTGATCTTTATGTTAGTTAATAAGAAAAAAGAATATTTATAAAATAACACCCCTAAAAATTTAACCGAAAAAAAGCGACACTAATTATGACCCGACCTAATATTACCAAAAAATATTTTTTAATATTTAACTTTGAATCTCTTTATGACCCCAAAAAAAAGACTGGGCAGAGATGTGGGATTAAGCGAAGTGCCATTATATCATGAGAAATACTGAAAAGAATTTATAAGACTCTTGATTGTGAATCAGTGCCGAAGAGTGACTATATAATCGTTTATGTTACTCTGTATCCAATTGGAGTTATAACTGGATATATAAATTAAATAATTTTTAAAATTAAAAATTTATTTGCCAAAATTGTTTAAAAATAGAAAATTAATTATTCTAGCACCAATATAAAATAAAAATTAAAAATTAGAGAAAATTAAAATATAAAAATTTAGTAAAAAGGGAATCAACATTGTGTGTGGTCAATCAACAAATATATGACTGTTTATAAATTAAAAAAAAGATTTTTATAATTAAATAGCTAAATATTTACAAATAAATGAATAATCAGCTTTTAATTTTCTAATTAAATTTTAATATAATTATTTAGTAGTTAATAATTAGATGAATAATCTAAACATTTTTTAATTAAATTTCGGAATTTTGCCTATAAAAAATAATTTTTTGTGCTCAACTGGGAACAAGAATTTAATTCAGGGTTACGATTCGTACTTTATTTGAAAGTACAGTACTTTAAAATCGACCTCCGTACTTACGAAATCGAATTTGTACTTTAATGAAAGTATGTACTTTAAAATCAACATTTTGGATTGAAAATGAAATTGGAAAAGGGATTGGGCAAAAAAGTGAATTTTTTTGGCCTACGGCCTTCGAAATTCTCAAAATTTTCGCCTGCGGCGCTGAAAAAAAAGAAATCTGGCTTCTTGGGTCCAAATTTCAAAAAATTTTCGCCTGCGGCGCTGAAAAACTGAATTTTACCGCATACAGCAGCCTTTCAAAATTCTAAAAATTTTCGACTGCAGCGCTAATAATGGAAGAAATCTGTCTTAAGTACCCCGAAATTTCCCAAAATTTTCGCCTGCGGCGCTGAAAATGGACGAAAGAAAGTAGCTTGTTTGAGGCTAAGACTGTCAGGGCTTTATTTCTTGTGTCAGCGAATTTTGAAATGTCATGCATTGAAATGCACAAAATGCTCAGTTGAAACAAAAAATTATTAGAAAAGATTTATTTATGAGAGAAATATGAAAGATTTGAGCATGAATAAATATTTTCTAATTTAATTTTGAGTGTACTTTAAATTTGGAAATTTAGCCCCTATGTACTTTTAAATCGAGATTTTTGTACTTTTGATGGGCATTTTGTCGATCGTAACCCTGATTTAATTGGAGCCTTAATTTAAATTTAAATCAATCAACGCTTTAGTATACTTAGAAATTAGCATGTCTCGTTTTAGACTGTAGATACCTAGTGGATAGTGTGAATTAGATTTTGAAAAAACAACCAAATAATAAAATTGAGACCAAATTCGTAGTAGGTAATCAAATTAGAGGGAATTCTGTTATAAAACGAGGGTTAAAAAAAGATGGCAATAAATGTTATTCTTTTATTAAGTTCAGCAGAAAAAATATATTTAAAAATAGATAAATTAAATTGATAAAAAGTAATTAAAAATAAGAAAAAAAATTTTCAATAAAATTCTTTGAGAATTAAATGTTTCGAGATGTCATATTTAAACGGTTTTAACTCCAAATCGCTTCCAAAATTTGCTTCAATAGAACAACATATCAGTTCAACAAATGGTTTATATGAGGCGAAATTGTCCTTTAATAATATACCCTTACCTTAAAAATAGAGTTTTTGCTGGAATAATTTTTAAATATTTACCAATTTGTTTTCCATTTTGAGTAAAGAAAACATAAGGAAATTCTTCATTTAGTTTATTATTTGGAGGATAAACTAATCCACACCCAAAAATATCATTATTATTCCAAGAAAGTGCTGGAAGTTTAAATTTTTCATAATTTTCGTTAGAAATTTTAGCAGGCATGGCAAAATAGTAAATGCTTTTAT